GCCTTTGGGAGGCTGAGGTGAGTGGGTTGCCTGAGCCCGCGGGTTCGAGACCCGCCTGGGCAGGCAAGACCTCATCTCTACAATAAATCAAAAAATCAGCCAGGCGTGGTAGTGCATGCCTATAACTCTGGCTACTTGGAAGGCTGAACCCAGCAGGTTGAGGCTGCGGTGGCCAGGAGCAACCACTGCACTCCAGTCTGGGCAACAGAGTGAGACTCCAACTCAAAAAAAAAAAAAAGTCTCCCACTCTGTGGCTTGCTTTTCCACTTTTTTTCTTTTTCTTTTTCTTTTCCTGAGTTGGAGTGTCATTGTGGCCCAGGCTGGAGTGCAGTGGCACACTCACGGCCATCTCATTCTTGACCTGCTGGGCTCAGGTGATCCTTCCACCTCAGCCTTCCAAGTAACTGAAACCACAGGCGTGTGCCACCAGGCCCAGCTAATTTTTTGACTTATTGTAGAGATGAGGTCTCGCTAAGTTGCCCAGATTGGTCTCAAATTTCTAGATTCAGACAATCCTCTTGCCTCTGCTTTCCAAAGTGCTGGGTTTACAGGTTTGAGCCATTGCACCTGGACACTTTTCCACTCTTTTAATGATATTTTTATAATGAGCAGAAAGCTATTCATTTTAATGTAATTCAATGTATCAAACTTCTCCGTTATTGTGCTTTTTGTGTCCAGTGTCTCTATGCTGTGGGCACAAATATATTATTTTCCTGCACTCCTCCCTAAGGGTTTTGCTCTTGTGCCTCTTGCATTTGAATCAATAACCCATTCAAATTAATGTTATTCTGTATGATGTGAAATAGGAATCAATATATATTTCTTCTTCTTTCAAATGGATATCCAATTGTCCCAGTTGGTCCTTCTGGGTTAATTCTTGCTGTCCTCTACCAGATCTCTTTCCTTTTCTTTTTCTGAGTCAGATTCTCACTGTGTCACCCAGTGTGGAGTGCAGTGGCACAATCACAGCTTACCACAGCCTCCACCTCCTGGGCTCAGGTGATCCTCCTGCTTCAGTCTTCCAAGTAGCTAGGACTACAGGTACAAGCCACCACACCCAGCTAACTGTTTTTATTTTTTGTAGAGGCAAAGTTCTCACTATGTTGCCCAGGCTGGTCTAGAACTCCTGGTGTCAAGTGATCCTCCTGCCTTGCCCTCCCAAAATGCTGGAATTACAGGCATGAGTCACCTTCCTAATGACTGTTCCAGCTTAACTATACAAACTAATATCCAACACCAGATGCAAAGGTTACAAATGACCTGGCATAGATGTTTCCACTGGCTCCTACATTTGTGTAAGACCTAATACCTACAATAAATCCTTTATTTTATATTATTCACAGTGGTTCTACTTATCTAATCAAACATTGGCTTTATACTTTTTTTTTTTTAGTAGGAGTCTCACTTTGTCACCCAGGCTGGAGTGCAGTGGAAAGCTCACAGCCACCCCAGCGTCGACCCACTGGGCTCAGGCTATCCTTCCGCCTCAGCGTTCAGGTAACCGGAACTACAAGTGCGTGCTACCATGCCCAGCTAATTTTTTGATTTATTGTAGAGATGAGGTCTTGCTAAGTTGCCCAGGCTAGTCTCGAGCTTGTGAGCTCTGGCAATCCTCTCACCTTGGCCTCCCAAATAGCTGGAATTACAAGCTTGAGCCATTGTGCCTGGTCTACTTTTCGTATTTTTGTAGAGATGAGGACTTGCTGTGTTGCCTAGGCTGGTCTCCAACTCTGGGGCTCAAGCAATCCTCCCACCTCGGCTTCCCAAAGTGCTAGGATTACAGGCATGAGCCACTGTGCTTGGCCTCTGTCTGTATTTTTTTTTTTAATTTATTTTTATTTTTATTTTTTGAGTTGGAGTCTCACTCTGTCGCCCAGACTGGAGTGCAGTGCCCGCTCCCAGCCACCGCAGCTCGGCCTGCTGGGCTCCGGCGATCCTTCCGCCTCAGCCTTGCGAGTAGCTGGAACTACAGGTGCGCGCTACCACTCCCGGCTGATTTTTTGATTTATTGTAGAGATGAAGGCTTGCCAACTTGCCCAGGCAGGTCTCGAACCCACGGCTCAGGCAATCCACTCACCTCAGCCTCCCAAAGTCATGGGATTACAGGCTGAGCCACCGAGCCCGGCTTGTTTTTGAGTTTTATGATGTTAATATACATAACCAGGCCAAGTGCTGTGGCTCACACCTGTAATCCTAGTACTTTGGGAAGCTGAGGCAGGAGGATTGTTTGAGCATAGGGGTTCGAGAACAGCCTAGGCAACATAGCAAGTCCTGGTTTCCACAAAAAATAAAATAAAATAAATTAACTGGGCATGGTGATGCACATCTGTAGCCCATTTACTTGGGAGGCTGAGGTAGGAAGATCACTTAAGCCCAGGAAGTTGAGGCTGCAGTCAGCTGTGATGGTGCCACTGTACTCCAACCTGGTGACAGAGTGAGACCTTGACTCAAAAATAAATAAATAAATAAATAAAACTACTCATAACTAGAAAGTTAGATTTTTTAAATTATAGCATCTATCTATCTATCTATCTATCTATCTATCTATCTATCTATCTATCTATCTGCTTGATTTTGAGTGGGGGTAATGCTATGTTGCCCAGACTGGAGTTCAGCGGCACAATCACAGTTTACTGCAGTCTCAATATCCTGGTCTTAGATGATTCTTCCACCTAAACCTCCTGAGTAGCTGGGAATACAGGTGTGTGCCACCACATCCAGCTAATTTTTTTTAAAAACTTTTTTGTAGAGATGAGGACTCAGTATTGGAATTACAGGCACAAATCCTGCCATGGCCAAGATTTTTTATTGTAGTTTTTAAGTTAAGGTTAGAATAACTGATTTATCTTACTTGAAAAAAATCTTTTTTATAGGGAGCTTCCTCTTAAATTTTCATCTAAAATCACACATTCCTAATTTAAATGGACAGTTGTCATATGTTGGCTGTATTAATTTAAATAACAGAATAACTAGCAGTGTATTTCTTTAAATAAAAAACACAATTCTCTATTACAAATATATATGTATATATATATTTTGAGTTGGAATCTCACTCAGTTGCCCAGATGAGTGCAGTGGCCGCTCCCGGCCACCACAGCCTCGACCTGCTGGGCTCCGGCGATCCTTCTGCCTCAGCCTTCCAAGTAGCTGGAACTACAGGCGCGCACTACCACGCCCGGCTCATTTTTTAATTTATTGTAGAGATGAGGTCTCGCTAAGTTGCCCAGGCGGGTCTCAAACCCACGGGCTCAGGCAATCCACTCACCTCAGCCTCCCAAAAGCACAGGATTACAGGCTGAGCCACCGAGCCTGGCTATTTA